AAAAATCATGATGCTTCTTTTTAATGCTAACATTTTATTTGAAAGACCAAAAAAAAAAAAACCCCAACCTTCCCAATTTATATTTACATTTTTTTTAAGAAACAAAAGCAGTTGTATCATGAAACAAATCTTTTCAACATGAACTTGCATTGAACAATTGCAGTATATCCACAACTAAATAACTGACGTTCTGGTCTAAGCAAGAAATGCAAGGTCACCTTTTTTTCTACTTGTTAATGTCAATGTCAGAATTTTCTTTAAAAACCCCCCATAACATTTCAAAAGTCGTTCACAAAATGAACTGCAAAATGGTATTTATATGAAGCGCTATTTATAAGAAAAGCAAAACACTGACAGTGACAATTTTTTTTTCCAAAAATGCACACTTGTTATGCAGGACTCCCATCTAAAATTAAGTGGAAGTTACAGGCATCAAGTTTTTTTTTCTGAATATATGTATCACGAATTTTCTGAAGTGTAGCTTTTTTGAGCTTTTCTGTACGAAAAGTCCTACATGAAACCATAAAGTAGTAAGCTACTATTAAAAATTTCATTTTTAGATGCAAGAAATACTTATTTTTCTGATATATCTTCAAAAGGGATATTTTAGAGTAATATTCCAGAAAGCAAAATGTCACCTGTTCTCTTCAAACTAAGGAAGTATGTAAGCTTACCCGATCACCTTGTTATTGCGGTGACGTGGTTTTTGTATTTTTTGCTTATCTATCTGTTCATGAAATGTACATGTAAAGTGAAAGTATTTCATTTCTGTGATTATGTTAGGCAAAAAAGACGTAAGGCAGGGAATTACTCTGGGATAAAACAACATTTAAAAAAACAAGCAAACTAGTGAACAGAACAATACCTACTTTGGGGGGGGGGGATGTCTATCCTCTTTTGTGCCCTAATATGCTTGTTTTAAAGTAATCCCATGTAATAATTCTCTGAGCTATTGTAATAAGATTGTACTGTCCTTTTCTGTGACATCTTCCTAGTAGCTGACCTGCACCTCGCATAGTGTGCATATTAGTTATCTGGCAAGAAGGATATTGTATTAAGAAGGTTTTACAAATGAAGTTCCAGGAATACGGTGCCTCCATGGGTCTGCTAATTTCCAGCTTTGTCCTGCATCAAGCCTAGGAGATGCAGTTCTTCATGCTTCTTGTACTTCATTATCTCTCTGGCCCTGAATTATTTGTGAGCCACCTTCTGTATAAATGACCATGCTCGTTAACTGTTCTGCTCTATCAGGGGATAAAGCTTTAGCCTTTAGAGCAGTACCAGCCTGCAAAATCTCTGGGGACTCTGCCGTCTCTATCACAGTGTGTGAGTACACACCAGGCTCATCCTGCATATCCGGTGGTAACTCGGTGACAATGTAGTGGGTTGCACCTTCGGAGAAGCTGCCATCAGAACCCTGCACCATGGCTTGAGCGATTTCTTCTGTGACAATAATCTGTGATATTTCCCCATCCGACTCGACTAAATCCATGTGTTCGCTTTGGACGCTGAGCGCATGCCTACCAGCTTCCTGCATAATTATCTGAGAGCCTTCTCTAGCTACCATATGTACAGTCCCTTCCTCATTTACAATGACCTGAGTGACACCTTCTTCCATCAGCTGGTCGGCTGCAGCCGTATCACACACAGCAAACTGTAGTACTCCTTGGACCATTTTCTTGAAGGCAGCCTGAGCTCTCTCCTGAGATGCAATTATAGCCGATGGGTGCACGACCTGCGTCACTACTTCCATAGGTTCAGTATCTTCCTGAGTCTCTTGAACTTCATGGAACATCTGTATTTCTTGTCCCTCTGTGTCACTGGGAACGTTGGGTGTCTCTGGATTTGGCAATTGTAAGAAATCTTTGTGACTAGACCTGCTTCTGTCAAGGAGTCCAGTTTTGCTTTCCACTTCACCCAGCTCTGTGACAGCGCAAAGCAGGGCATCCAGTGCTGAGGAGGAGTCTGGAGGATGTACTGTAGCTTCAGAGGCATCTAAAACTTCTTGCCTCATTATCTGCTGCAGTACAGCACTACTGGAGTCAGGAACTGCATCTACAGGAACAGCCTCTTCCATATCGGTTCCTGCTACAGAGCCTTCAACCACTACCACCTGTGTTGCACCATCTGCTAACTGCTCAGTAAGTATCTGCCCTGGAACCATATCGCTCACATGTGAGCCATTTTGATTTGTAGTTATAACTTGCCCATCTTCTGTAATATGGACTACCCTTGCCATCTGACCAGCCATTGCTAGAGTTTGAAGGGTAGCTGCAGCTGTTTCTTCCACAGAGGCATCAATTGCAAAATCGCCGTCATATCCTTGAATAATAATAACTTGCTGAACTTGTTCAGGTGACTGCGGCTGTCTTCTGCTGCTCCGAAAGACCTTCTCTTTAACTGGAGAAACCTCTCCCAGTGCTGCTGCAGTAAAAGGACTGGTAGTTTCCACAAAGGTTGCTCCTTGCCCCTTCAAGCGGCATTCATAGGACTTAGATACAATGCCTGCAAAATAAAATACACTGTTAGCAAGGCCTCATGGCAAATATCAGTTCATTACTTTAGTAACTTACTTAAATGGAAAAAAAAAATTCCTTGATAATTTTTAGATTTCACTGGCAGAAAACATAGGTAAAATGAGCAAGTGAACAAAAACAATTTGCATGTTTTCCAAATAATGTATTTACTGGTTGAAATAATTGCTGAGTTGAACAATTCTGCAGCCTATTAACAATTTAAATGTGTTTTTTAATATGCTGTATAAAACCCCTCAGATAAATACAGTATACAGTTAAAAGCCATTAACACATATTTTAAAGAAGATCTTATTGGTGATATTTTGGCACTTTAGTAATGCAATGCACTTTAGAATCCTATATTATATTAAACATGTCTGGGTGTGAAAAACCGTGGCTGATCTTCTTAATATCCTGGTTTTGTTGGTGAGGTAATTGCCATGCTGTCATTTTAAGGCCATTGTCTTCCCCTTCATTTTTCACCTAGCTTCTCCAACACACCTGACTGACTCTGTTCACTAGCCTAGTTACCTGGAGAAAACACATGACAGTTTTCTCACCCTAAGCAATATATTCTGCAAAAATACCATCCAGAGAGACCTTATTTATACTTTTTAATTATTTCTACATTAAATCAATTAATAGATAAAAATACCTGTTCTTCCACATTCCAACTGCTTGCTCTGCCACTCAGCCTGGTTTGAGTCACTGAAGGTTTCTCTCCTTACCAGTTCTTATCACTAACCATAAAGCTTCAGCAAAGTAAACGATGCCTGCAGTTGCACACAGTTGGCCCTGCCATCTTCAAAACACAGCCTCAGGGATACCCCGCAGCCCGCTTTGCCTTCAGCGTTTTCAGGAGGACGTAACGGACCACGTACCTGCTATTGTGGATGTGCATGACAGAACAGCTCTAGCCCTCTCTGCCTCCCCGTCACAGCGCAATGCCTAGCTGCAGCTTCTGTGAGTGCTGCGAAGCCCCCTTTGGACCACTGCCAGCACAAACACGGACGAACGGGTCCCGAACACTGAGAGTGAGGTGAGGGTTTAAGTCCAGGTGGGGCTTGGGGAGGCTGATGAAGTCCATGCTGCTGAGACTACCCATACCCCTACCCATACCCACATCCATTCTTTAGTTTAAAAAATTCAGCTTGCCTCTCCCTATGCAAATTTAAATCACACCTCTGGAATAACAGATGTAGCATCTTATCATTAACACACATAGATAGAGCGCTGTTTGTCTAGGGCAAAGCAGTATTACTCTTACAGGGAAATTTTGGGCTGGCATTGCACTTTCTGAGCCACCAAGACACTTCTCATGAACAGCACACACTGTACCCAACTCAAGAGGCCAAGAAAATTATACTAAAGCTGCTCTAAGAGAGCTCTTTCACCCAAAGTATAGAGCTGTCAGACCCTGACCCTACAGAGAACTAAACTGGGCTCCAAAAATCAGAGAGATTCATTCGCTTAAAGGTAAGTTTGCACTTTCAAGCTGTGTTGCACAGAGACTGAGTACCTGGCATCTTGCAGGTTCCAGCACCTTGATATGCTAAGGTATACACCAAGCTAATAGGCCAAGATAAAAGCAATGCTTAAAAGACTGGGCTCTTGCTGGCATCTACTTTTTCATCCATTTAGCTATCTGCCTATTTATTTATCTTCCGTTTCAAAGCTTCTGGTGAATAACTGTAGTACGAAGCATAAGAACGAATTTTTTCAGGCTGAAAGGCTGCAAATCATCTTCAGATGTCTGAACTGATGTTATGCAACTTTCTCCATCTTAGTTTGCAAGGCACATTATCTTTGGAAGAGAAAATTAACAATTTAAACCGTTAGAGTGTTTCCAAGAGATCCTGCATGATAAATCTGGCACATGCAATTGAAGTACATTTTGTCAGGCATAAGCTGTAAGGAAGCTGACTGTGGTATGACTGGTTCTTATCCCCACTTTTCCTGTGCTCTCTGTAGGCACTGACATTCACAAGACCCCCCAAAGAGCAGAAAAATAGGAAGGGGAAATCAACATAAAATGACAATTATCTTAGCTCCTCCACATTTTATAATAGAGTAGAAGTAATTAATTCTCTCAGGAATCTTGCTTTGTTGACATGATAAAAGAGGAGCCTGGCAGTGATGTGGCACAAAATCAAAATAACTCTACAAATCATGCATTTTCTACTAGATTTCAAAATCAAAATAACTCTGCAATCAGAATTTTCTCTTGCATACAGCAAAATCATGACATCTTTCTCCTGTGATAATGATAATTTATGTACAGGACACTGCATCACGGCATTTAGGAGACGCTCTGGTCCGGGGAGGGGAGAGAAAAAAGAAAGAAATTCATCCTGTTTTCATCTCCTAAAATAAATGCTGTACCTGTGAATCTATGCAACTCCAGTCTTTGCGCTGCAATTGAATGGGAAGTCTCTTGGGTGAAGAGCTATCCCGTGAATCCCTTGCAGCACTGATAATTATGCTGTTCTGACTGCTTACTTAATCTATTTGAATCCAGAGGTGAGTTAAGCCACTTCCTGACCATTAAAGTAAACTACATGGGTAAATACTGCTGTCACTAAGGGGTGTGATGAAGCTTAACTACACCAACATCTTAACCTCAGTTCAGTGCAACCCCAGCTATTCCATCACAGTTCATAAATGCGATTGCAGGTCCATCTTTTGATTCAGCAATTTAATAACTTCGAGTGCTGTCAGTACTGCTTTGAAAAATGGCTCCTATAAAATGTAACAGCCTCAATCAGATTGTAAAAGATTCACCCACTGAAGATTCTTCCATTTCAACTATAATGAATTAATGTTGAGCTATGTAGAAGTTCAAGTGTCATTTAAACTAATGTGAATCTACTGTAACTTTAAATTTTAACTGGACTATGACCAAGAATTTACTGGGAACATCAACTTCAATTTTAGTGATTTTTCATGGTAAATATGAATTGCAGATTTTACTGGTTTTCTTTTGTTTTAACAGTGAAGAGCCAAGTAGGGAAGATATTTAGGAAACAACATATTTTGAGGCTTAGCAGCTATTTTGACTTTGGAACAGTGCATGTCTATAATGGCGCACTGCTATCCAGCACAACATTTGTAGGAATTTTTATGTATTTAAGGAACATGTCACATTATTGGACTGTATGTAGCAACAAATCATGCTGTCCTACTAAATTCAGACTGCCTCTCGCCCCCTCTTAAAAACGGGTAAAGAGAAGGGGTAAGTGTTGGCTGACACGGAATACATAAGCTGCAATATAAGCTCACATTAATAGTAGGAAAACTGGACTTGTTGCTGACTGCATGTCATTGCAAATTAAAAAGATACACAAATAGGCATTAAAATGACAAAATATAATGATGCAAGAACTCATATTCAGACAATTTGTAAAGAGGTGTTTCATATCTAGGGGTGCAATGATCACAGAATTGGTTTCTTTCCAAGAAGTCTGTCATTTCAGCACAGCCATTATTTATCAGTTGGAGTCCGGAGCGACTGTTACATTTTTATTTGAAAATGTCAAGATTTTTCAGACATTAAATCCATATTCGAGGGTTATTTTAATTCTCAGAGACCACAAACTCCTGAAATAGGGCTAAAATATATGCTTTGATGTTTAATGCGCTTCTAGGAAACTACAAATAGGGTTTAGTAGCTTTTTCCCCTCTCTTTTACTCAATACCTGACTTTCTTTTGTGTGTCTGTTTTATTCTTTTGTTACTGTCATCATTTGTTCCCTGCAGAATAAATACCTTATTCTTTTGTTAAGCTTACATTTAATTAAAATGTACAGGATTTGTGCAGTAAACTCGAATGAAACAAATAAAACAAGGGCCCCCTCTCTTGAAGGCATACGTTGTGAATGAAAAATGTCATTACAGACTAAAAAATTTTGCAGTAAACAGGGCCTACAGAGAGAAGTTTCCTCCGTAATGACATCCATAAAATACACAAATGGCACTTTTAGTACCATCCTGAATATGGCATTTTCTGTGCTCTACACACAATCTAAATGGTTTGATCATAGAGCATAATACTCCATTGGGTTTATAGAACAATCAATGTTCCATAAAATGATGTATTTATCCAATAGTAGGCTCAGCAGTTACTGGTGTATGACATTGTAGGACACTGGCTTTGTACTGTTCAGCAGCACACATGCTGGCTGTAAAACTTATCTAACACTACTTCAACAACTTCATCTCATCTGTGTCAAGTAATTTGTTGAAGCCTCAGCTTGGTTTAAAAAAACTTGTAATAAAAATTCATAGAATTTTCAGGAGAATGAAAGCCGGTGACAATGGAAAGGTCACATTGTGTCTCCACGAGAGGGGTCGGGGTCACTTGCGGTTCTAAAACAGAAAGTAGATTTCATGCATCGTGTAGCAGATAAAGATGGCATTAAAGAGACTTGTCTCCGAAAGAAGCCCGTAATGCGTTAGCAGAGCCTGTGCTAATATTGTATGTAAACCACTACGTTGCTCGCAACCGGCAGAGCCTTTAGATCTGTAAGCCTTTCCCCAAAGTCAGGCTAAGCGATTCTGCGCGCTGCGGCTACGCCTAGGAGATCCGGCACAACGAGCTCCTCCAAGGCAAAGCAATGAGTCATAAATGAAATAATTCAGCACGACGCTGGAAATGATATGCGTTTCTATGGCAAGCTTAACCCAGGTATTTTTCCTTTTCTGTGAAACTTTTGGGAGAGCTAATTTCTGGCATCCTATCCAGCAACACCTAATTTTTCTTACTTCAGTTTTTAGGGACATTATTTATCGACAAAAACTAATATAGGATATCTATTAAAATGCAATGATTATTAAGTAAGGTGAGCACAAAGAAGGACCTTTTAATGCAATTAAATACAACCTTCAAGGAATTTAAAAGATATATAAAATTAAACTTACACTGGCCATCATTAACAGTCAAGTCAAACTGTTCCCAACAAATGAATTAGCAAGTGAGTCCTGTATTTTGAA